CACGGCCCAGCGCTCATGTTTACTGCAGGGCAATTTGCGTGAATTTCACGAACAATTTCAAGCCCTTTTATTATTTACTTGTTTCCTCCCTTCGGCTCCTTTCTCCTTGTCTTCGCACAATGGCGCTTTCTGAAATTTCCATTGAGAGAAGGCGGGAAATTAGGTTATGGTAGGAAGGGTGGTACTTGTGCGCCAAGATGTGACTTATGAAGGGAAGGGAAGAGAATGTGATGGCGTTTGGTACACTTCATTGCTGCTGATGACACTCTGACAAGGTGTATTTTAAGATACATTAGCACATATGTAATGGGTGTATGTAATAATAACAACAATAATAATAACGATAATAACACTCATAATAATAATAATAGTAATAATAATAATAATAATAATAATAATAATAATAATAATACTGAGCGAAGGCGCGCTAAATTAGCAATCGGGAGGTCTGGATTCGACCCCGGGCAGGCTATCCTGACCAGGGTTTTTCGTGTTTTCCCTTGCTCAAAAGGCGAATGCTGGGAAGGTTTCTAAAATCCCACGAACACCTTCCACCTCCCACTACCCCACCTCCCATCTCCCACGCTCATTCTAGTATTTTCACCCTTCATCATCACCCTATCACTTCAATCCTATTATTATTATTATTACATTATTCACAGCATCTACTGGTCGGTATGTCAACCACACACAGGTATGATGACCAGCCGTGTTGGTACTGCTTTACTGAAGTTAGAATGGCTTCTGAGCCAATACGGGCAGTATTCAAAATTACTGCTTTTGCATATTATATTACATTCCTGATGCAAGGTGAAGATCTCCAGTGCCGAAGTGTATTTTCGGGATCACTTTGCCGTAGGCTGATATTTTATAGGGCACAGTTTGTCAATTTACTGAAGTTCACTGAGTTGCGACTTCATAGGCGAGGATCCGGTATATCTTCTGGATCTTCTCTTGGATATTTTTTCACCGATATGTTGTGGTATTGGGTTATTGATAATCGATAAGGAAAAGCCTGCTGTTGTTCGTATCATGTAAGTGTTATAGATAGGGTCTAGTTGCCGGCCGACATGTCTGTCAGTGATAATGGAACGAATCCAAGTAGAGTGTGTGGCTCACTACTTTCAAGGCACATTGTGGAGGCACATATTTAAATACGGGACGAAGTGCGAGTAAAGCCGTTCTCAACGCAAAAAATTAAATTGGTGTACCTGCTTCGCACTTCATCATGCTTTCTTTTTGTATCCCTGTGGCGGTGGCTGCTACAATCCACTTGTCACGTGTTGTATAGTTTCGCTTTGCAGCCTCACATTTCTAACACGAGTGGAATGAAGGTAGCATCTCTCAAAGAATGTGTTTTCTGTAGTGTCAATGTTGGTACCACTTGGTTGGATGCTAATCACTCGAAAGCTTGTCTCCGGAAAGAGATCCCCCCGCGCCTGGGCCATGCGTGCGAACGCAGAGATGTCGACTTCTGGTTTACTCAGCTCGTGAGGGTATCCTTCCATGCATGCCTTTGCCTTTTCCAATAAGGTGTATCTGATCTTGCGTTTCAATGGATTGGGAAAAGGCGGATGAAGCTTTTTCCAAGTTCAAGAGAGCTATAGTTATCAACTGCAACTCACTTGTCTTGCTGAATGCGTCTCCCACAATGTTTCAAGAAGTATCTCTTGAGTGAACAATTTGGAGAGCTTTGATTTATGAATCTACATACTCGCCCTCCTTGGCGACGTTGGAAGCGAAAACGCTTCAGTACTACTGAATGGGGATGATGTTTTTCGGGGTTGATCATTAGCGTTGATTGTTCTCTGGAGTTGTCGAGGTCTCTCATTCTTCCATTTTAATAACGCAAGGAGTTTCGCATGGAATAACAAATGAATTGATGCCTCACAAGGTTTCTAGAGAGAGTTGAGATTTTAAAGTCCATGCATCGTTTAACAACACTTCAGTTGTTAGTATATTCTAGTAAAGTGTGTTTGATTCGGAGTGGATGTTGGAAACCCAAGGGTATTTGTAATTTCATGGGGTCCATGAAGGTATCTTTGGTTCATTATCAGTTTTCAAATTTGATAAACTTGCATTATGATTCCCGAATGAGTATTCACTCTCCTTGCATTTTTATTCAACCGAATTTCATCTTAATGTGCGTCAGTGAAAGCTTCTTCCGTCAGTTTGATTAGTTTTGCGCATATGATCTCAACGGAGTGTCTGCATAGAGTTCAGAATCATTCTCATTGTGAAAGGAGATGTGAGACACGAAGAAGAGGTTGAGTTTCCCCTTTTTAAGAGCGATTCCATATTAGATGAATTAAGTAGAGTAGAGAGGGGGATTCAAGGGCTTAAACAAGAACAATAAGGGTTAAAAGAGTTCCCCTGGAAAATCCTCGGCGGATGTGTATGTTATCTGTGTGGACGGATTGTTTTCCATTGAGAGATACAGTTTTGTTATCCATCGACTCATCGAGTTTTCAGGAAAGTTTTGGATAACGGGTGGGACCTTGTATACTCAAACATTGAAGGAGCCAAGAAGGGTGACACGGTGGTGAATCTTTAGCGTAATCTATGTAGCCATGCGTACAAGTTTCTTTGTTTTTCAAGCACTAGCCCATAATTACAGAGTCTATAATGAGTTTGCTTTCCTTGCATCCCTGAGATCCAGGCTCATCCTTTCTGTTCATTCTGCCTAAGATTTTCTGTTCTCATTGGTGTATCTATATTTGCGAAACAAGATGTTATGAGTTTGTAGAAAGTTTGAAGGCAGGTTATATGCCTGTATTCGAGGGTCTTTAGTGTCCCTCTTTGTGGTAACAAAATGTTTGCTAGACCTCATGAGGAAGTGAGGTAAGATTTTCTGGATTGTGAAGAAATTATTGAATTATTAGCTTATATGATGGTGAGTGCTGGTACAATTTTTTGAGCCAATAATTGGGAGGCATTACTGCCTGGTGCCTTCCAGTATGTGGCTTTGTTCAAAGCTGCTTGACAATTGCACGGTGGATGATTAGGTTCACACATAGAGGGATATCTCGGTGGTCTGTCATATATCCATTTCAATCCAACGTCATATCTGGGTTGTGGGACACAGCAAATGCAGATAGGCCTCCAAAGTCTCTATTTGTGCTTTGGAGGGAGCTTTGACTCTCCAATATTTTTACAGCGTTTGCCCTTTGAACATCTCGTAGAATGCTTTTGTTCTGTTAAAAAGAGAATTGCTGTTTGCTTCCTCGATGCAATTCTGTAGCGTCGAAGGCGTTTTTGTTAACGCCAAACTTGTCGTAGGTGTCAGAATGTTTGTATGTTGAAAGTTCAAGGGCTCGTGCTTCGTATGAAATTTTGTAGTTAGAGGATGTTATACCCTTTCTTTTCAGTTTTTCTGAGATATGTTTCATTTTTAAATTGTGTGAGTCTTCCAATATCTCTCCTTAGTGCTTTCTATAGCGATTCACCACCGTCTTTCCAAGGTGGCATTCCTTTTTTTCCTTCGGAATCATTGGGGAAGTGCTTCGCGGCTGAAAGCGGAAACGTACATCTTGAAGCCCACAACCGGCAGCCACAATAATTGCTAGTTGTACTTCTTCGAAGATGGCTCTTTGTTGTAATGTTGTGGCAGTACTTTCTCATTCAAGACCGCGGATTGCTCTTGCTAATTTCTTCGAGCAATGTTGTTCTGGAATGAGATAGCGTTAGTGGGTCAGTTCCTTCAATTTCCGCAAGAGCGACTGCAAATTCAATGCGTAATTTCCACCTCTTCTCTTAAATCTATCAATCCATACTTTCTGGGACATACTTGTCCATTGTCATCCTGATTTTGCACAGATGATATTCCATGCCCTCAATATAACTAGGTCTTGAGGAGTAAGCATGTTTCCAATTCTCCTTAGATGGCTTCCAAAACTGGGTGCAGAAGGAGATGTGTCTGAACAATTGCTCGACGTTCTGGTCCGCTATTCTTGCTCACTAACTTCAGATCAGGAAACGGGTGAAGAATCTTGGGTGAACTTTTGTCGGTGACGTAGTCGTCAGTCTCACATTTTGTTAATGGGTGTATTCACGCATGATGAAGGTTCTATTTCTAGTCCACTTCATCTTCTGCGTTGCTGCCTGCGCAGTGGCCTCTGGAAGCAATGATTGATCTCTGGGAAGCAACTTGCGGCAGTGCAGCTTATACAGTGGAGATGGATGGGTGCTGCTATGTTTTCGGCTGTAGTAATATTCTCGGGTTTCCCGATCAGGGCCGCTGTTCGAGCTCCTTGATCACAACGGATTCGCATGCTGTTCACCTCCAAGCGGTGGCTTCCGAAGGGTGCCTCGCGCTCCCTCGGCAGCGGCTTGCTTTTCCGAGCCTTACGACGCATATTCGTGTCTCATATCTCTTATGGGTGTGCCATCGCCCTGTTGCGCCAAATTTTCTGACGTGCCCGTCTCCACGTGGCTAAGGTTTTCAATTGCTCGACGTAGGGCTGGGCTGGGAGACTTAATTATTATTATTATTATTATTATTATTATTATTATTATTAACAACAACAACAAGTGATATGAGTGACAACAAGTGAGTGATATTTAAAAGTTACCGTATTCCCCAAAATCCAAAACTTATCATACGTAAGAATACATCTATTTGTTGGCATATCTGCTGAACAGTACTTCACTTCCCAACCCATACAATTTTGTTAATTGTGTATAGTAGTTTGTGACACGTTTAATTCAGCCGGTAAGAGCTTCCGAGAAGCATGACTTTTGACACTCAAAGTCAAATGTCTATAAATTGAGCTGCCTGCTGACGCTGCTGGCAACGATGCGGGATGTTTGGAGCCACGGGACAAACTCTTTGTGTAAGGTTACTTTTAGAAAATTAATTTGTTTGAAAATAGTATTCAAGGTTAGATTAATTTTAAAATTATTGTTAAAAATGAGAATAAATCGAAATGTTTTTAAACAGTTTTACACAACAATGGTATCGAGCCAGTTTCGTCACTTACAGGTACGAGTACATCACTTACGTTCTCCAGTTTTCTCCATATTGATGATGAAGAAAATTTCTTACTATGTGTTCTGACAACTGATATATTAGCTTAAGCAAGTTATTATTAGTCGCTAGTTTTATGTGTACTAAGATTCTATGAAACATGCATTTATGCAGTAAAAGCTTCGAAAATATGTACTAAAGAACTCATGAACTCAATAAAGGGTTCTTAAACTCATATCCCAACATAACATTAATATCACAGTTTTTACGCATAGCATGTTCATCGGACTCTACTCTCGCTCAAATAAAGTTTGAAGAGTAGTATTTAGTCCCACAATAGAATGTCAGCAGCTAAATATATTTAACAATCAGTAATAGAATCACGTTTCAACACTAATTCCAAGAACAGCTGATGTGTTCGGCTAATGTTCGCTCCCTTTGATGTGTCCTAAAGACCGACACGCGGTGGGTAGTGCGAATACCAATGTTCGTGCTCGGCGAATCGCAAGCAACCCGTCCCACTACTCGGGATTCGGCGAATGCCGCATGTGTGGAGTCGTCTCTAGGGAAAGCCCCCCCCCCGTCTCCCAGCTGTGAGCTGCGGTAGTTTACGTGTTGAAACGAAATATTCGAAAATATAATTTTCCTGTTAAATACCATGCAGAATTTAGTTACAGGAAATTAATAATAGCCAAATTGAACTACGCATGTAGCAAAGTTTTCAAATATTCTCTTGCAGGGTAAGAGTAACCACTGCAGCAGATACTGCTCTAATAAAAACTGAAATAAATAACATTACTTGGCTGTTCAGTAGTGATAGACGAACTTTCAACATTCAAGTATCTAAAATAAATGAAGAGATGTGAAATGTACTATTACCCAGGTTGCTAGGGACAGATTAATATTCTGATTCACCAATGATTAACTGATAAGACAAATATAAGATTAAAATACCTTCACATCAAGAAAAAAATCATTTTCTGTACACGTAAAAGCAGAAGTAAATTAGTTCGCCTAAAATAAATTGCGGTGTAGTTTTGAATTTTTCTTTTGTTTTTTGGGGCGCTCATTACGAAGTTGAGTTTTTGCCAAATCTCTTTTTTCAACTCACAGAGAGGAAAAATGCTATCAAGAATTGAAGATAAATTTATTTTTTATGATCGTATTTCTTATAAACATATTTTTTATGATCTCCTCATTCAGATTTACTTAAAATCATACTTGATAAATAGCTAAAATATGCTACCTGAACTATTTATTTCAAAAGTTCCTACAAGAAGTAGTTTTCATTAAGATTAAGTGTAGAACCAATAACGTGAACTCCTCTCAAATTTATTTCAACCTTATAGGTTAAGACCAGACTTTTCACATTCATATGTGATATATTAGTTATTATAATCAAGTTAGACCAGTAAAATTACACTTTTTTTTGTTATTAAAGGTCGCATCAACTTCTAGGTCATTAGCGTCCATTACTGCGTTTAATGGTATGGTAATTATGAGGATTTCACATTGTGATGATAATAGGGGGAGAAAGGACGAACACAAAACAATCATGACCGAGGTGGGACTCGAACCCGAAAGTTGACTCTGGATAATAAATAATAAAAATTATTAAACCTTTTGTGGGGATTATTTCCTTTACCATATTATTGATTACCACAAGATATCCCCCCGGAATTTATTCAACACGCGGATCGAGCGTCTGTAGCAAAGCTCTTTAGCAACTTGAAAGGAAAATTTGATTCCGCTAACAGAAACATTTGGTTCAACAAAATGTGCTTATTTTTCAAGATAGTGCCTGTGTACGTGAACCTCAAGACCAATTCCACGACTTCTTCCGCAAGAAAAGCTGTGAACACTGTCCAGGTAGCGTCGATAAAGCATGAACTTTACAAATGGTATTCTATAAGAGATTCTCTTTCCTATTACCTTTTTATTTCTCACACCAGTCTTTCTCTATTATGCTCCCCCCTCGAGTTTCTTCTTCTTGGCAGAAAAATAAGGAATATCAAATTTAATGAAAATTGCCTGAAAGTGAATAAGTTAAAAAACAATTCTTACAAACTAAAAAGAAAACAACTTGACAGTAAAAATACTTTTTCACATACTGGTATCTTCACAGACCCCAGATACGAACCCCAGTAATCAAACCTTCTACCCCAGATTTGAGAACTTATCTGATGATACTTTCAATAATGATGAAATTAAGCTGTTATCCTATGGCTTAAAGTTTGCACCTAAATATCACCCTTCTACTAAAGAATTATCTAATTTAGCAGTGAGCACTGAAGAAGCGCCGAAGAAGCCGTGGCACAACATCGCTCGCTCTGGCCTAGTCAGTGAAGTTACTCAGACAGTTCACTAAGTGTA